GAGCAACAGGATACAAGCTATTGGCAGGAAGTCCACACAGTGATATTCTGGGCACCAAGACCAGAAGCAAGACAAAAAAGGTAAACAAATGCTTTAAAGGAATTAAATAAGGTAGTCCTTGAGGATACTCTGCTATATGTTGATGAATGAAGTAGATGTTGAACTGGGCTCCTCTGCAGTGGATGTGCTTTCTACACTTCTGTTATCACAGGGACAAATATTCACTCATTAAGTACCTCTGGATTATCACAAGTGAAAAACCTGTTCACATAGTTCAGGGTGGCACCATCAATCTTCAGAGCTGCACAGTACTTCAACCACAATTTAAACTGTATTTATTCTGACAAACACAGAAAGTGTACTGGATCGGAATTACCAAGAGACATAAGTATTTTTCACATTTCCCATGAGGCACAAGACATAACTTTTGGATACTCAGAACAAGCCCACTAGGGTAAGGGTTTGAACCTGGCTTCCGGTAGATTTTTAAACCTCCCCCGGTTCAGGCTATGTATTCCAAGATATTATGTGAGCAAACTCCTCTTCCATGCCAGAGGCAGAGAAGTCAGTTGAACACAGACAATTCTTTAAAAAGAAGAAGAAGAAGCGGTTATCCTGTAGAGCCCTAATGTACTTTTGCACTATGTCTGAAAGGCAGTGAAGATACAGCCTCTACAAGCCATAATATAATTAGAACTTGTAGCGCCTCATTGTTATTGGAGTTTGAGACATCTGTTGAATGCAAATCACAGAGGAATAAATCAAAGCTTGAGTGGATCCCCCCCAAAAAAGAAACTCTTTCGACCTTGGGTGAGTTTTGGTGATTATCAAAGAACATTCCTGGAAATAACGGTACCAGAGGCCCCTGTGTAAATAACCACGCACCAACTGCCTCCAGAGTTGAAAAACAAATATCCTTAGAGACATCCCTACTTTTTAACAAAGCTTAAAATTGCATGTACTATACAGGATAAATGCCACTTGAGTGCCTTCCCCAAGGATTCTGCAGATGTGTTCTTCCAATGTTATTCTCCCTTCTGAACAAACAAAGAGGGACAAGGAAAAATTATATTATATGGCTTCTAGTAACTGCTTATATGACTTAAATCTGTGCCTTTCTTATCTGAATTACTCAAGAAACTCTAGGTCACATGATGGACTATGCTCTCTACCCTCTCCACAACCACACAAGCATCTAATGTTTACTAGGTAATCCACATGAATCCTAAATCTTGTAGTAGAGGTTCAGTTTCTAATATTCTTCCCCCCAAAATCACCAGGGGGGGCACACTTGAATCTATACTCTGTCCTTGTCTGTCCTCAGGCCAACCACACATTCTCAGCCTAACCTACCTCACAGGGTTGTTGCAAGGATAAAAAAGGGAGGAAAATGATGTAAGGTGCATTGGGTCTCCACTGGGAAGAAAGATATAGTATAAATGAAATAAATACCATCCAAAGGGAACACTGACCCTAGCAAATGTACAAAAACTACTGGAGGGAAAAAGTATATGAAATTCTAACCGCTAAGCCACAAGCTGCCTCGATATCTTCCTTTTTAAATATAGCCATTCAGAATGAGCAAAGCAACCTCAGAATTGTATCTTTAGCCCCCTCCCCCTCCAATAGTGCTATGGATGTCAATGCAGCTTGTGGGCACAGGCAGAAGAGTTATTAAAAACGTTGGCACAAACAGCCCATTGCCAAAGCAGCAGAGGGCCACAATATGGCATTGCTCTATGGCATCCAAATAAGTTAATTAACACCCACATTCTGCAAAGGAGCAACCACCCTAAACAGAAGAGCTAAATGGATAAGTCCACAAGGAACAATTAAGATGACGGTGTGGGAAGCCCCGTGGCACTCGCATGCTGTCCCAAGGGAGGCTCATATTCAAGCTGCCTGCAGAGAGTCCTGCCATTTAATGCATGGGATGCTGCAAAATTATTTTTCAGAAGTCGCTGCTTATGCATGCACCCAAGCCAACTCCCAATTATACACTTGGAAACTGCTTTATAGTGAATCAGACAGTCAGTCCATCAAGGTCAGTACTGTCTATTCAGACTGGCAGCAGCTCACCTGCAGCCCGGTCCTTTTTACGGGCGATGCCGGGGATTGCACCTAGGACCTTCTGCATGCAACACTTCAAAGAGATGAGTTACTCGATCGACAGACTTGCATGAAAAAATTAAGCTGCCTTATATTGAATCAGACCTTTGGTCCATCAGTATTATGTTGTACACCACCTGAGCCCTGTCTTTTTGGGGGAGGGTGGTTGAGGATCAAATTTAATGCATACTCTGCTTCAGTCTCAAGCTCCTATTCCTCCCTGGAGTGTAACCATGTTCCCACGCTCTCCAAAGCAACGTGTTCCACAACATGAGAACTCCTAGTCAAGCCTGCTCTACTTCTGTCAAGCAAGCACTGGATATGCCCAGCTGCATCACTGAAGGGCTTTATGCAGAACTAGTGCATGAGTCCAGGAGCACTTCTGAAAGCCTCCAGATCCTGGAATGGGTCCAGGACAAGCAGGGGCAGGCGAGAGGAAAGAGGAGAGCTATAGGAGCAGCAGCAGCTGCGCCATAGAGGCAGACACTAATCTGCTGCTCCCCTGAGAATGGCCTGGGCGGCAGGGAACAGACGTGGCTGGAGACCCTCCCAGCTCAGTAGCTAGGAAATCTTTTGGGAGGGGGCCTCGTGGGCCCGTCAGCTAATTAGAAGAAGAAGAAGAAGAGATTGGATTCATACCCCGCCCTTCACTTGGAGTCTCAGAGCGGCTTACAAACTCCTTTCCCTTCCCCTCCCCACAACAGACACCCTGTGAGGTGGGTGGGGCTGAGAGAACTCTGACACAAACTGCTCTTTTTCAAGGACAGCTGTGCCAGAGCTTGTGACTGACCCAAGGTCACATCAGCAGGTGCAAGTGGAGGAGTGGGGAATCAAACCTGGTTCTCCCAGATTAGAGTCCACACACTTAACCACTACACCAAACTGGCACCCAGAAGAGATTATACCCCGCCCTTCACTCGGAGTGGCTTAAAAATTCCTTTACCTCCCCCTCCCCACAACAGACACCCTGTGAGGTAGGTGGGGCTGAGAGCTCTTTCAAGCATAGCTCTGAGAGAACTATGGCTTGCCCAATGTCATCCAGCAGCTGCAAGTGGAGGAGAGGGAAATCAAACCCAGTTCTCCCAGATTAGAGTCCACACACTTAACCACTACACCAAACTGGCATACAGTCATTTCAGCAGAACTGCAGGGCAGGTTTTCCTAGATTAGAGTCTGCGCACTTAACCACTACACCAAACTGGCTCTCTAATTAAATGAAAGTACAGTGCAGGTGGTAAGTTGGAGCACTTTGGGGCAGCCCAGGAGGGAAGGGGCCCAGAAGAAACACTAGGGGGCCAGGCCCTGTGAGCCCCATGTCAGCTATAGGCCAGGACCCTTCTATAACACTTCAAAGGATGAAGCCCCACGGCTCTCTTTAGCTGCTGTGGGAGATGAGAGAAAAAACTTCCTTCTCTCTGGCAGAGGCTTGGCTGAAGGGGCTCCCACACTCCCTAGAAAATTTAAAATCCAGGAAGTGACAAGCAGCATTCCTCTCAAATACTCAGCTGTCCCACCCTATAAAGGGACGCCACTCCTACTGCAGTTCAACAGGTGGGTGTTTTGAGCACCCCTTTTTAGGTCCATCCAGGGATTTTTCCATGGCTGGACAACATTTGCGCTCAGGACTCGCAAACCTCAGCTAAAGACTTTATTCACCGGGCCACAACGGCACTCTCAAATAAGAGAGTTTCATCTGCTCAGACTTTGGTAACCGCTTTCCTTTCATTGCTGGTCAGCAAGGAAATGGAGCCACGGCTCAAGCTTTCAGTTCCAAGCACAGCCTGCTGGCAAAGGCTATTGCCGCTGCCACCTTCACATACTTCTCTTGTTTCTGCCACAGCAGTGCAGGATCCCAGCGTGACAGGAAGGACAGGAGAGACCAAGAATCAGATTTGTGCCAGGGACCTTCAGGTGCTGACCTCTGCTTCTAAGCTTTTACAGACCTTGGAGTTCCCTAAGGGGGAGAAAATTCCCTCATTAGTCGAGGGAACAATGGGATCCAGTTAATGTCTGACCCTGACAAAACATCCTGCTGTATGGCTACAGCAGAAACAATGCCAGCTATGTTGTGCTTTAGATCTTTTGGAAAAAGAATCAAACTAGCCAGAAATGCCCTTTAGACCCTTGAATTAAGATTCTACAAGCATTTAAAGTGATTTACACATCGCGCATAGACGTTCATGTTCAGTGTTCCAAATGGCTCTATACAATGGGGACATAAACAATGCATTGGGGGGGGAGAGCAGGAGTACACCCACTGACTTCACCCTGATCTCGACATGATGAAGATGCAAGATTTTTTATAAGCAATCTTTCTACAGGTATCACAGAAAAGAGAGCTGGAATATGCAAAGGCTCATACATAAATTGGGGGATCAACCTACTATCCCCACTACCCCCGCATTCACTGATTATATCCCCTTCACTTTCAGGAAGTGTACTCTATGTGCAACGATGGAGGACCACATTGCCCCACTTCATGCAAAGCACCCACGCTGCTTCTGTGT